ATCTCTATTACTATATTCACTGGTACATTCTCTAGCTTTAGTGGTTTAACATTGATCCTATAGTCAGAGGGTCTGTTATTAATACATACAAGATTTTATATTATTAAAATGTAGGACCTTTGGGTTTCCAATTTTATGTTAACTGTAGTTACATCATTTTAGTAATTTGTAAGGCAGACTAGATTTTGTCTTTGTTTTGCCTCATGTGTAACTTTAGTTGGTCCTCTGCATACACATTCCCAGCCACCAGTTGACACTGAACAGTGCTGGTTTGAACTGTGTTACAAACCGCATGTAAGTGGACAGTAAATATTCGTGGAAATGAATATAGGTATTCACCACTTTCCGCAAGTTCTCCTTACGCAGCTTCACTTGTATGAAAGACCTACTCGTTTTAGCAAACTGAAAGAAACCTGAAGAGGAATTTTGCTTTTATGAAAAAAGCCATTATCATACTAATGTAGGTCTTTTGCTTTTTGTAAAAGTAAAGTGGAATAATGTGAACTTTCTGAAAGCAGGGGATACTCTTTGCTTTATATATGCCAGTTTGGCTTTTGAAAGATTTCATAGGCACGCTACTTTCAGATACTGGGGAAACGTACTCTTATTGAGAATGCAAATTTTATTTCTGATATGGTCTAAAATTAAACATTTTTTTCCCTTCAGAGTGACAAAAAGAGTAGTCCCCAGAAAGACGTTAAGTATGAACCCTTTTCTTTTGCTGATGGTAAGTGAATCTTTTCTTTTTTAAATATATTTTCTTGATTTTTTACAGAGAGGAATGGAGAGGGATAGTGAGTTAGAAACATCGATGAGAGAGAAACAGCAATCAGCTGCCTCCTGCACACTCCCCACTAGGGATGTGCCCGCAACCAAGATACATGCCCTTGACCGGAATTGTACCCGGGACCCTTGAGTCTGCAGGCTGATGCTCTATCCACTGAGCCAAACCAGTCCAGGCAGCGAATCTTTATTTCAGTTGTGATGTGTGTGTGTGTGTGTGTGTGTGTGTGTATGTGTGTGTGTGTAAGGTAAGATTACTGTCTAGTGACATAACTTTTTTTTTAGTTATTATGCTTTAAAGTCAGGGTTCTTGAAATCTAATTTATCTCAATATGACATACAGTAAAAATCACTCTTTTTAGCATAAACTTCTATGAATGATACTTCTTAAAACATCTTTCATGAAGCCTTAACTTTGGATAGTGGTATCTTACTGGATTCTAATAAAATAGTGCTTCTCTAGGCTAAACTTCAAAACATAGTTCTTGCTTGTTATTTGGTTTTAAAAAGCACATGTCTGTTTATTTGTCTGATATTATTGAATTTATATCTTCCTTTAGACATTGGCTCCAATAATTGTGGATACTATGATTTACAAGCAGTGTTAACACATCAGGGAAGGTCTAGCTCTTCAGGTCATTATGTATCATGGGTGAAAAGAAAAGAAGGTAAAGATTCTATTGTTTTTTCAGTTGTTACATACTATTTTAATAGTTTGTTTAATATAAATTTTATAACAGTGGTTCTCAAACTTTTCGGTTTCAGAATCTCTTTACACTCTTATATTGAGAACCTTCCCATTTTGTTTATGAGGATTGTGTTTTTTTACTATAATAGAAATTAAAACTGAGAAGTAAATTAATTTACTCAAAACTGACAGTAATAAACCAATTACATAAATATTTAAAAAATGAAAATTATAATTTTTTCCCAAACAAAAAAAAGTGGCAAGAAATGGTATTGATTTACATTTTTATAAGTCTTGAATAGGAGACAGCTAGATTCTCCTAATTATTTCCGCATTGTCTTTTGCTTTATCATACGTTGTGTAGCCTCAGGAAAATTCCAAAGTACACTTGAGAGAATGAGGGGTAAAGGTACTTAAGGCTTTAGTAGTGTTATGAGAATAGTTGTAACCTTCACGGAACTCTTGAAATGGTTTTGAACCTGAGTAGTCCCTGGATCATGCTTTGAGAACTGTTGCTATGGTAGATGGAATACTGCTGTGCGTAAAGTACCTTTTTTGAAATGGAACTCTGAAAAAATTGTGAATGATTTTAATTTCATTTTCCTCTCGTTCTTTAGATGAATGGATTAAGTTTGATGATGATAAGGTCAGCACTGTGACACCAGAGGATATCTTGCGGCTTTCTGGTGGTGGAGACTGGCATATAGCTTATGTTTTACTCTATGGGCCTCGCAGAGTTGAAATAATGGAAGAGGAAAGTGAACAGTAACCTTCATTTTAGCTATTTATGCTTAGGTGTGAAATAAATGTTATTTGTTGATCATTTCTATAATCCAGAGCTTTAGAGGAAGATATATAAGTGGTTTTGTTTCCCCTCATATGGAACAAAGGGCAGAAGCAGACCACTGTGTGTCAACGTAAAATATTGCAGAAAAGAGAAGCCTTTGAACTGTGCTGCTCTGTATAAAGGTGACAGGAAGAAATTTTTTAAAAGCTTATTTCTTGCATTAATTTTTTAAAATTCTGAGTTGAAATGCCTTTCAACCATTATCTTCTGTGATAATTTTCCCTGCCTTTTTCAGCTCAATATTCAGCAATGAAATGTTTATTGCACACCTATTACTGTTTTGTTGTTCTTGCATGGTTCAAACCACAGGTAATTTCCTTTGCCTTATCTAACAAATTCTGCCAGGAAGATGGAAAGGAAGTAAGTGTTGCTCTCATTGTGCTCTCAGTGCTGCTGTCCACATAGCCCATGGAAACGTGGATACAATCAAGTATTTGTCCAGCCTCATTGTTGCTGGCTTTTCATGACTTTAAAATAAATTGTGATCAATAGTACATTTGATTATACATTTATTACTGTCTCTTTGATGTACTATGGTTTGTACGTTTAACTCTGCAATGGCTTTGTAGTAATCAACCTTAATAGGATGTTGACAGGCTCTGGTTGCTTATTTTTAGAAAACAGGGATACTTAATAAAAAAGAAAGAGGGATTAACAGTTTTTGACCTCGAGTCTTGTCTGTTGAGTTGGCTGAAGTTCCAATATGTTAACCCTGATGGTTAGTTTTACTCTGCTGTTAAGCATCCATTTAAAAACGTTACCTTTGCCAGGTAGTATTACATTCTTTAGAAAGAAATAACAAAGTTATAAGAGCAATGGAGTTTTTTTGGATGCTGAATGCAGCATTTATCAGTCAGATCTGTCCTTTGGCTCAGTTATTTTTATACTTCTGTCAGTTCCCCAAAATCTTAATGTCTATTTCATAGCTTAATATCAATGATTTTTCTAGTGGTTGGAATACCAAGAGTATGAGGTATTTTAATATAATAGGTTTAATATATTCTAATTAGTCAGTTCCTCATCTTTGTCTTAGAAGCCTTGATAGTTAGAGAAAGGATAGATTATTACCAAATTTGTCTCTGATTTTGAGTTGGGTATTTATAATTAAGTTTTGGGGATTATCATGAAATCTCAGCTTTGCTTACTTTCGTTTTAATGCTCTGCAGAGCAGAAAGCACTGATAACCAGTAGATTCCTTAAGAATAGTGGCTATTTTTGAGTTTGTGAGAACTCTAGGGGACATAAAATAAGCATTTCAGGGAAACTTTATTTGTATATAGCTTCTTCAGCTAATCTCTAATTACTTGAATTATTGGCAATCAGTACTTCCTTTGCTTTGAGGGAGGGTGCAGAATAGGATGGGGAAAATGAGACCATAAGAATTGTGATGTTTTTTATATATTGGTATACTGCTTGTAATTCTGCAGTTTTTTTATTCACTGTTATATTTGGCCTGAACAATTTCGAGGACATAATTTAGCAACTAAAATTAAGATTTTTTCTGATTTGCAGGATGCTGTAGCTACTAGAGATCAGGTGAGGTAGATTTAGAACAAAGTATATAAACCTTCTATAGTGTTAGAATTTTAAAATTGTAATTCCTTGTCATTATAAAAAGAAAACTTTATTTCACTTTATTTGATCCAAAAAGCATTATTCCAAAGATATTTTAAGTATAAGAAATTGGACTTATACCAGTGTTGTTTTAAACTAATAAGGCTGTTTTAGAGTTCAGCCTTGCATGTAGGGTCTTTGAGAGTAAGCAAGAAAAGGTCTTGACTCCTGAGTGTGCCTTATACGCTGTGCCACTAGCATGACACCCTTTTGATACTAGAGCTGTGCTGTACACTGTTGGACTAGCTAGTGAAGTTAAGCCCAAACAAGAACATTTATTGTATAATGTGTGCATTTAGTAGTAGTTGTTCTGGATTCAAAACAATGATAACAATCTTAGACCCCTAAAGGATAATGCTTATGTGGGGACAGGAAAAAGAGATAGTTCTGTCTCCAACCATTACTAACTACCTAGTGCTTTGCTGTTTACAGGGTGCTTTCACAGACATCTCATTTGAACTTCACAACAATCCCTGAGCAATGCATCCCTATTTTAATGACTTGAGAGGTTAATTTTTATAAGGCTAAAGGAACTAGGTTTTAGACTTTACCCCATTTCTTTTAAAGTTGGGGGTCAGCAAACATTTTCTGTAGTGAACCAGATAGTAAATATTTTAAGCTTTGCAGACTATACCTTTTTTGTTGCAACTACTTAATTTGCCGTTGTAGCAGGAAAGAAGCCATAGACAATCCTAAAAAATCAGTATGGATGTGTGCTGATAGTGGTAAACGGACCATTGTTTGCTGATCCTCTGTTTTAAAGCATGAAATTAGAGCAGCCATATAGATTCAGAAAGTCTTATTTTGGGATTTTCAGAATAGCAAGTTAAATTTCATAACTGCTAATGGCATGCAGAAACTAATTTGGCATAGTGTATTTTAGGAAACACCATGCCTCTAAATATCACTTATTGACTTAATAACACATTTAACAAAAATATATTGTGACCTTAAGGTCATGTCACTTTGGCCATTTTTCCAACTCCTCCTCCCTCCTCCCAACACCTGACTGAGGTCAGTTATCAAGAGCCAATATGTGTTTTGTTCTTGGAATACCAGCCAACTGTACAACTGTTATAAAAATGTTTATTGTTTACCAAAACCAGTGGACCTCTTAACAAATGCTGCTTGGTAACAAAATCTTATCACAGTTTTAATAAAAAAAAAAAAAAAGCTAACTATTTGTCTCATTGTCATTAGTTAGACTTTCTGCAAGGTCACTTAATCCAGACTTATTCAGTGCATTAATCAGATTCTCAGGCGTTGCATGGACTCCCTCTTGATCTTGCCAGGCAACTAGTAACTGCCTAGCTCTCATCTTCACGTCTTCACTATCACACTCAATCTGTCTAATTTCTGAGTCTTTCATTTCCAAGTAGGGAGCCAGAATCTTCCATTGTTCACCCAATTTGTTGGCAAATATCTCTATTTGTTCCCCTGTTACAGGTTTGTCTCGGCGAGCATCAGGGCCTAGAAAACACAAGAAATGTAAATTATGTACCAAGTATGAGGACATCTACAATTCAAAGTGTACAACAGAAATGGGAAGATATGGGGCCACCAAAATATTAAGCCCCTTTAATAACCTTTATTTTAAAAGTAAAACAGTTCCTTTTTATATTTTTCCATGGATTGAATACTGTTCTTATGACCATTAGGAAATCAATTTTAAGTTATTGTCAAGCAGTGCTTTAAATTCCTTACTATAAGAAGCAGCTGAGATACATGGTAGAAGTTGAGAAGTAGATCAAATTAAATAACGTACCTCTCAACAAAGAACCACAATCTTTGTAAAATAGCCAAGAAAATTCAATTCTTACTTTCATTTTCCTTCAGTAAAGCATCATTATCTTCCTCATCTTCATCCTCACCTGTTTTTATTTCTTCAGAAGGAGGCTAAAATGAGTAAGGAGAATGTTTAAAAGAATGCCAACTTCTAAAGTAACTTGGGATTCATTTGTTTAGATAAGCTGATTGTGACATTCCAAGTATAGGACCCAGAACTTTACCCCTGAGGGTGTTAAATATGACAAGTAAAACAGTGTTAACCTGGAGAAGGAGTGGATGGGGAAGATCTGAAAGTTGGAAAGACTCCCCTTACTCCCCCAACCTGGGAAGAAGGGAGTCAGTAAAAGATGTTAAAATGATTTTCACATACCTAGCATATAGTAACAACAGTCTAGGGAAGACCAGGATTGAGCACCTATGTCCTTAACATTTTTTGAGTGATTAGCTTTTATGCACAGTTATTAGTACCATATTATAGAAATACAATGAGAAAATTGTATTGAAAAGGAGAGCCAGAGTAGTAAGGCCAAGTTGCCTACTACTACCTTGTCTTTGAATATAATGCACCAACAAACAGGAAAAATGATAATAATTTCTCCAGAAGTATTACAGACAGATTAAGTTATACACGTGCTATAAAAATTATTAAAAGTTTATCAGTTTATGTGCTTCCTATGAAATGTATCCTCAAATGCATTTCTCTTCATTCTAAAACATGGAAGTTGGTAGATTTTTTTCCCACAACTCTAAATTCAGCTCTGTTCAAACGATAGCAGTTTTAAAGAAATAACATCAACTAAAGGAAATGAAAAAAAATAGATTTATAATACTTACTGGTAATTCCTTTGCTAGCTTTATTACCATGTTTTCAAGATATTCTGGCAAACTTTTGAACTGCTGGTTGGTTGGCTGGAAGAAGTGAGGGCTTCTCCGTGCTAACAGTCTCAGGGCTCTCCAACCATAATTTGAATTGTTCACAGCTCTATAAAAAGATGTTGGTCTTACAACTTTATAGTCATTTATTTCTGTATTCCCTTCTAGTTAATGTAACTCACCAAGTGAAATTCTGTAACTCTAAGATAAGTAGCTGAAGGCACCATTCTTTTCACTCTGACCGTATTCCCAAAGACCTCAGTGTGCAGGTCACTTATGTTAGTCTGAAGAGGGAGGTCACACCAGCAAGCTCATTTCAAAAGATTGTATGCATTTTACTTAATTTAAAAAAGTCAATATGTGCAGTACTGGCTAGGTGTTGTATATGTAGGACAGAAATAATCTAGTTATTTAGGGGGGAAAATGAATTCATAATAGGTTCAACATGTTTTAGTGAGTTGATATCCACCAGCATAATGCCACCTATAGGTGTGAGTTCCAGAACGTAAGTTCAGCACTGAGTTCCAATCATTAATTTAATCAATGCTTGGTTTCCTATTTATACAATACCTAAACTTTAATTTGCTCAGAACCAACCTGATGGGATAAAAATGGCTCCAAAACGAAAAGGGAAATATCCAATAGTCAAGAGAGTAAGCAATGACACCAAGAATAGAACCAACCCATGAACCGTTCCGTAAGGAAGCAAAGTGGTAATAGGTGGTATCCAGTAAGGTGAGAAATGGAAACCTCAGGGAAATTCTAAAGACAGTGTTCCTGAAACAGGCAAGCTGCAGCTGAAACAGGCAAGCTGCAGAAGAGTCCAGAGCACAATTTTTTCCCCCATTTATGAGTTTTTTGCAAGTCAGTTGGAAATACCCTCCCTCCCTAAATTGTTGAGTAGCAACCTCGTTTACTTGGAGCCTCATTACCTTTGAGGCATGCTGGCACCTGCAAAACTACTAGACAGTGGGGACCCTTACCAAGTTAACATCATGCTATGAGGCTTTGCCAAAATAGTTAACCTTCTCTCTGACACATTTCTGTTTAGATAATTTGAATCTTTTAAGCATTCTGTCAATTATACATACAAAATTATTCTCCAGAGATCCCTATCATCCAGATTCTTAAACTAATCTTAGAGGGCTATCACTCTACCTAGTCTTACGTAACAATAATAAATCAGTATTCATTCAGCAAATACTTGTTGAGCTGGGCACTCAGGAGTCATGGAGTTCAGGGCCCCTGAGGTCACAGTGATTTTCCTAGCTTTGCCATTTACTAGCTGAAACAACAATTTCTACCTAAAGAGTTATATAAGGTAAGTGCTTAGGAAGTAACTGACATAGTAAATGAATCTGTTGCGAAGCATCATTATTGATAAATACAAGGGTTAAGACAATTTCAGGTAGTGGTAAGGATGAGAAAAAAATGACAAATTCAGATGGTGATATGTACTATGAAATAAATGTTAACAGGGCTGCATTAAGAGGGAAAGGAGAAGACTTGGTCAGGGAAAACTGCTCAGTATTTAAGATGAGAGTTTAAGTGAGAGAGCAAGCCATGGGATTGCCATGAGGGAAGTTTCAAGCAAATGAACATCAGGTACAAAGGTCCTGAGGTGGAAGTACCTTTTGAGTTGAATGGAAACAGGGCTGGTATGGTTTGAGCAGAGAGACAATAAAGAAGATGTGACTGGAGAGGTAGAAAGGTGCAAATCGGATAAAGGAGACTTGTTAGTAAGACTTCATCTTAATTTTATTTTC